ATTAATAATAGTAATAACAATAATAATAATACCAATTATGATTATTATCAACCACTTCAACGATTTTAGTGCCACGACAGGTAGAATAATAAAAGAGGCTTTTCCTCGGAGGAAGTGGAAAGACAAGACAAAATTGGACGTCATCAATGAAGAAGAGACTTGTATACATATATATCGGGGAGACAAAATAATGAATAAATGAACGACGACTATGAAAAGAGAATTCTAGAGGAAAAAAGGCTATTTTCAATTTATTGCACAGACGAACTATGATAAAACAATTAAAAAAACCGATAAGAGGAACTCCAATGAAAGAAAATAAAAGACAAAAGGAAATAACAAAATTTAAGACTAAAAACAACAAAAATTTTGAATGAATCACTTTCATTTATGGAAATATACATAAACATTTAAACTTTTCAACAATTTGCGTGTTATTTCAATCAACAACCACCCCCCTCAGCACCTCGCGCACACCTTATAACAGGACAACTGAAAATGAAAACTTCAACGAGACGCTTAAAAGCATTTTAAAGAAGAAGCGCGCGTATAAAACGACTAAGCAAGTGGATAGAGAAAAATAAAGGCAATGAAACCCATCTCAATAGAATACCCAAAAATCAGACTATAGGGAGCAAAGATGGTGGTGGTAGTGTGTAGGTGAATTGACACGGAAACAATCCAATGCAAAAAAATAAATACTTAACCATATATATGTGTGGCGTGTGTTACTGACAAGATTTGTAAGTAGTATATAGACGTAGATATGAATATGCATATTCAAAAGGAAGAATATCGAATGGCAGAGAGAAATGGATTAAATGACGGATGTTTGAGAAACAACATGGAAAACATGACAGCAAGACAAAAACAGTCCAATATCGAAGATATAAATGCGAATTGTGGTTCTGTCATGTGACAGACGTATTTTGCTTCTAGCTGTGTATTGTGTTGGAATTAAATAACTCCGATACTAATTCTTTCATCTTCTGCTTTTACCGATATACCTTATTTAAATTCTTTAACTATGAGTAGTTTATTCGGAAGCCCATAATTAACTTCAGTTGTATATAAAATGAAGAAATGGTTAGTACCTTTTGAGTATTGTGAACATATATTTGCTTCCTATTGAATTGGAATGCTCAGTCTCTGTTTAGAATGTATTGACACCCAGTAAGTTGGCTTCGACGTTGTCCGAGGATTATTAATGTTATTATTATTTCCTTGGGTTCCCAGTGAAACATACGGCTTCAACAACAAATCTCCACTCTGTTATATTTTCTGCTGTCCTCTTCATCTAGGTTCACGATTGTCCCTAATCTCTCGTCTTATCCTCCGCCTTCTTCTCACAAGATTTCCTTCACTTCACTCTTTCACCAACGGACCACCCATCGCTTCCCATTAGGGTCCAACTTGAGGGCCTGGTGCGCGATTTCACTTGACGGCATCCTCAACACATGCCTGATCCATCTTACATATTTGTTGAGCAATCAGCTCTTGGTTGGTTTGTTGCCAGAGTTTCTTGTTGCTAATTCTTTCTGATTGGCTGGCCATTCAATCTTCAGTATGGAGCCAACAAAGACAGCTGCTGACAAATGTGTGTAGCTTGCTGTGGATGCTTTCCGTGATGCGCCAAGTTTCTGACCTGTATAGAATAACTGACTGACTTCACATTCGTGTTGAAAATCGGAATTTTCACCCTGATGTTGGCTGCGTGCAGAATATTTCCAGACTGATATCAGGTTGATGAAGTTGTATCTCGCCTTTCACATTCTCTCCCTCTGACATCTGCATCCATGCTATCCGACTGACTGTGATTGAAACGATGTTTCCCAGATAGGTGAAGGAAGTAACTTCCGACAACTCCCTCCCGTTGATGGTGACTGGTGCTTGTTGTTGTTAATTGCTTATATTCATTACCTCCATCTTCTCTATGTTCATCTGCAGTCCTGTCTTCACCACTGGCTTCTTCAAAAAGTTTGTTGATTTTCGCCTGCGGGTCTTTGACTTTGCGACATTAGACATAAGTCATCTGCGAAATCCAGGTCTTTCAGAATCTTCTTATTGGTCAGTACAACCTATTCCTATCTTCTCAATCCCCACAGTGAGACGCATAATCCAGTCAACCACAATTAAGAATATCGTCGGTGAGGATTAACATGATGTCATTTGGTGGATGGTTTCTAGCTGTGAGATCCAGTATACTCATTTCATTTCCATTCCAGACCCGTCATCTGAATGTACCTATAACTTTCAATGATTAACAGGTGTTCCAACGCAGGTGCCATTGATTCAAATGCCTAAGCATTATCCACTAGGCCACTAAGGCCACTGGATGAAACCTGGATTTCACTGCTAGAGACTATCCACCAAATAACTTAATGAATGTATAGTGTTCACATTGTGTAAAATAAAATTTCTTCTTCTACACGGTACTGATGTAATAATTAGATTGGTTAAACACGGCATCATTGGATTTTTTTATAATCTAATCTATTAACCAGTTGTGTGTATGTGCAATGAGTTGACTAAAAGATAACCGATACAACAGTCAAGTGGACATCGCTTTTATTATTACCTATATTTGGGATGCATTAGTCAACAAAATTTTGCAAATCTAACCTTGGTGACACATAGTACCAATAATCAGTTAACCACTAAACTATTATGATCATTATGAGTAGCCTTCAGTAGATCGGTGGTTCAGCGTACACAGAACACGTTCGACTAGTCTAATAACTTCGATATTTTAAGTTCCAATTATTGTATTTATATATTTCTCAAGAAAGATAAAACAATCTCAACAATGTGAAACAATACAAGTTAAGATGAAAGAATCAGCTAACTAGTTAGTTACAACACATCAAACACAACACAGCCAAAGAAATTAAATTATGTTTTAAACAAAACTGTGATGGCTAGAAGTGAAGCATTTCCATTTCAAACGACGGCAGTCTGTTTAAATCGTTGGGTTACCCAAAATTTTTTATTCATTTAACTATCGGGAATGAGCTGAAATCTATACTCGTGCACAATTTCAAATACGTTCCTACCTATCGCTGAGGACTTTTCGAAAGAAATGAAGGAGAACAACATTGTGGAGTAGTACTGGAACAAGTTTTGGTGGCAACAATATTGTTTCAGATAATATACATCATTGATTATTTCATTATCAGAAGATTGTGTACAATGAGTAAATAGCTTTTAATGAAACTCGCTGGAAATTCTATATTGTATCTAAACGCACTTTACAGAATAAAGCTATTATTATTATTGATACTGTTAGTTTTAAAAAATGCCCGAAAAACACCTTTGACTAAAAGTTAGGCATTATCCTTTTTTTTATATAAAATGATTTATGAATATAATTTCGCTTCCTCTTGAGTAAACTGATCAAAGGAAAAATAAAATTTTGATAAATAAAGGGAATTTTTATTCCCTTATATAATATATATGTATATGAACGTTATTTACTGTTATTTATTGCCTTCGTAGATTTTTTTTTTGATTTACAGCTTGATTCCACACTGTATTTTCGGTACAAGTATGGAATTTTCAGCATGGATATCGGTAGCCCAAATTTTGCAGGCCGACCATAGATATCAGGTGTGCGTCGGTGCGGGCTCGAACCCCGGACCATGTGCATGGTCGGCGAGAGTCCTAACCACTGTGCCACCGACGCTATCCACCTCCGTATTATTATTCTTCTGCTGGAAGAGATGTGGCTCCTTGGTTTGAATATTCAAGTTTCAACCAGTGCGTCCCGACTTGGAATCCCACCCCACAAAATATGACAACAGTACTACCTTAGTGAAGCATTGATAAGATTACTGCATATAAAGCAGCCAAATCTTAAGAATAAGGCAACGACCAAAGAGGAAACAACAATTTATGAGCTGTGGAGCACGATTAGAATGAGTAACTTTTGAGTTACTGATCTAAGACCAACAGGGAAACTATTTTACTTTATAGCATGCAAAACGTTACTGATTGATTTGTGTAGTTAGAAACGAATTACATGAAATATAATTGGACTCATCTTAGTAGGAATGGAGACTGAGGTGATGTAAAGGCTAAATGATTGTTTCTATAGTTTAAGATTGCTTAGAGAGTTAAATCAGTTTGAAACTACTCAAATTTTGTTTGGCAGTTTGCGTTTATTGGTAACTCAAATAAAAAAAACAGATTCCTCAAGTACCAGGCTATATGAGTCATACATTCATTGTGTGTATAAGTGACTAATGATACTAGCCGGTTACCTGAATTGAAGTGAGTGAAGTGGAACTCGAACCTGTTACTCACTAGTTCAAAGTTCAGTGTTTAAGAAAAATAACCGCATCAACATTTGGCTTTCCGAAACAAACTCACTAATGGAATATCATCTCAAACAGTATACTTTGCAGATACCTAAGTAACATTTAATTAACTTTATTACTTATCGAACAATATGAGATATTTTGGTTGACATTAAAATTGTCACAAACATGAACTGGATGATTGATTGACAGTCAATGAATGACACACCTACACAGACAAAAACACACACATGCATAACCCATTCGGTGAACATATCAAAATAATCCGCGAAAAAAATCGGTTCAAACCGGAAAACCATGACCCAAGAAAACATAGAAAAGGTAGAAAAATAATTCGATACGAAAACCATTCTATAGAGTATTAGTGTTTACCCACTATTCGACTGTGATCAATTCCGTGTATGCGATGAACACACATAGAGGAAGTAAAATACACTTAAAAGACCCGAAAACATGTTTTAGAAAATAACTTTATGAAAAAAGAATCTGCAGTATATATATACATCTTTTTTCACTAGTTGGTTTGTAAGGATTAGATTTGCCTTTATGAGTTGATCACGGATTGTTATCAGTTAGAGAACCAGTACTTCCTGGTTTTCAATGATTCTCTAACTGATAACAATCCGTGATGAACTTATATATATATATATATATATATAAACACAGAATAAACAATAGACTTACCGAAATACATTACGATCTACCTCACCCAAAACATTTTCAACTGGATCTATGCATAAGTCTAAACTACATAAAGGTTTCTTTTTAGGATTCAAAATATTCGATTTAATCAATAGTTGATCTAGTGGATTTAAATGTTTGGTCATTGTAGACGATGAAGATGACGTCGGCAAACAGCCATTTGATCTTATTCTGTTCATGGTAATCAACTCTATTCTGTAAAATGAAAGAATATGAACAAAACAATATAAATTTATACGATGTATTTTTCCATTTGTTTCAAGGGTAAAATACACATAAAACAACTTCATTACTACCTGTTTTATCCTGAGAGCAATTGGGTACCACTTTCAAACCTCACACCTAGTATCTACGGCTAATATAGTGTAACTGAGATGTGTTTCACTTTGCAACTTTCGATATATTTCCTGGGCATCAGCTATAAATTAATCAACAGGAGGTATAATAAAGTGGGAATAGCTCTAATAATATCCATTCCTTCGCTTCTGAGTGGAAACATACGACCAAAGCTGCACGTTAGTGTTCAGTTTTCTGGCATCATTTGCAACCAACTTAACAAATACCTACAAACTTTCATTTCCTTCTCATGTGAACCCCCTCCATGCTTCTTATTTGTGTCAAACTCGAAAGATTTACCGTGTTACGTGACTTGGAGGTTCTCACGAGTTAGTTTGTAGAGATCTGATTTGCTCCTAGTTTGACAAGGGATTGATACCAGTTAGAGAACCACTAAAAGCCAGCAAGGAGTGCTGGACAGCCGATGACATTGGCCGGTGGTCGCGCTAAAATCAAGAATTGGTAGAAGTTGAAATTCAAAGGCCAATGGATACGGTCCCCACTGTGTGAATGATCTACGACTTCGCCTTGTAACCAAAAGGCCGTGAGTTCGAACCCTGACTTGTCCCAAACTAGGCTGACAAAACAGCTGCCCAGAACTCCATGCTGGTTTTCAAAGGTTCTTTAACTGATATCAATCCTTGGTAAAAAAAACAAACATTAAAGTTTACCTTAGTGTATATCCAATATATCTCAATTTCCTCCAGCATATTTACTGGACTAAACTGTTTATCTTTTCTAGCGATCTGTTATTCCATAACGAGCGAAAACAGGTGCTGGTAAAAAAGTCTGCAAATTATAGGTTAACTTTATCTCTGCCCTACAAAATATCCCAAAATAAATATCTTTATGCAGACAACTGCAAAATGTTATAGTAAGTGTTTAACGGGGAGAAAAGCAGAACGAATAAGCAATTATTATCCATTTGACTTTCTTGTCAGGACAAATACAAAGTTCTTTAAACTATTGCTTCAATTACTTGTCTTTTTCCTGGAGCAGTCAGTTGCAAATGACAAGAGGTAGAATATATATATATATACTTGAGAAAGAAAAATTCCCAATCTCGAAACAGGTGCACATATGCTGTTAAGTGAACAGTCTGAGAAATACTTTCAAGACTGAAATATATTTGACAAAACGCTGAATTGAATTAAGTGAATAGATCGAAACTATAAACTATGGACTACTGATCAAATGATAATCTGATCGTCTTATAACTCGACAATATTTTTTCAGCAGATTAAACGGTACACAGGCAAACTAAAGTCAAAGATAGTCTGGTCTGGTCTGGATTCAACATAGAACTTGGCACCAAAGTGAGGCAGTTCGAGTTGCCACCTTCCAAATAGCACACAGAGGTAGACAAGAAGATGAGTGAAGAGAATCAATACAGTCTGACAAGTATAAGAGTGAAACAGAATGGGTAATGGTAGGAAGGAATATGAAAGATTACAGAGACTGAATACATCTGCGCCATTGACAACGATTTTGAGCCATGTCACCTATTGTCTCCAGCCATTGATTCCTAGAGTCCCGAGGACCCCAACCCGGGAGTCTGCATCTCCCTACCTGACTCAGTTTAACTGTCAAGGATTTCATGGATTGATGAGGCCATGTTTTTGTTTGGCCACCACTGGCTCTTTTCCAACCTGCACCTATATCAGCTAGCAATGCCCGTCGGGGGAGGCGATGGTTAGGCATGCGCAGCACGTGACCTAGCCATCTTAGTCTATGTAACTTTATAGCCTCGTCGATTGATTTTCCCTCTTTGCCCAACACTCTACGCCTAACGTCAACATTACTTACCTTATTAAACCACCTAACGTAAGACAGAGATCGCAGACATCTATGATCGAAAGCAGTCAACCTTTTCATGTCTTCAACTCGTATTGGCCATGTTTCACAGCCATAGACAAGGACGGAGCGAACTGATGAGCAGTACACACGTCCCTTGGTTGATAACCGGATGTCACGCCTACGCCAGAGATGGTGTGTGTCAGCGAAAGCAGCTCGAGCTTTTCGGATCCGTGCTGAGATTTCATCGCCAATCAGTCCGTTGGTGCTAATACAACTTCCCAAATAGGTGAAGTGGTCAACATGTTCTATCACTTCACTCCCTATCACTAAGTTAGGATTTGACGTGGTCCAGTCCTGTAGCAGCATCTTACATTTTGTAGGGGCGATAGACCAATATAGAACACACTAAATCCAAATCACAGATATATTTTTATGTAGAAAAAAGCATTTCACTTATTAAGTACAAGCAACTGTGTATGTTCTTCCCAGTTGGTAGAAAAAACATCATCCCGAAATTGCAGGGATTTTTTTATTGACTTTCGTAGTGTTCACATACAATAATGGGTTCTGAATCTTAGAAACAAAATAAATGTTTCTACACAAAAAATTCTCATGATCGCCCGAATGGTTATCGAAACAGATTTGGTAGGTCCTGATCACTGCATTCAAGCGATAGGTAGGGATGTTCCTCACAAAAGTGAAAGGACGACTGTAGACGTTTAGCGCAAACAACCAGATGTGTGGATATACAACTTTACCCAAGGGAGCTGGAAAACTCTTAGTTAAAAAATACCTGTGGCGTATATGGGCTCCAGAATCGGAAAGGACAGAATGGCGAATGAGTCTGTTTTGGTCAACGGACACCATAGGAACTCAGATTAACTGTCGTGTGAATCAAACTTCAGGTCAAAGGCTCCGCAGGAGGACAACTACATGCTTCGGTGTCGGCATCTTAGCCACCGCATAATCTATGAGGTCTGCACCAGTAGGACATCGTTTAGAATGTCTTAGGAGACCTTAGAACGGTCAACAGATTAGTTCTAGGGTATATTATTATTTCTAGTCATCCTACATCAGCGTCAGATAAAATCAAGCTGCTCAAAAGTGATTTTACTTACATCTTCTTGATGCAGCAGAAGCATCTGCCATATATAACGAAAAACCTAAATTTTACTGATCAGAAACATTTCTGACAAGTTTCTTCTACTACCATGAGTTTAGTGTTAATTTCCGTTACTTGATTTGTTGTCTGCTTAGCTCTACGTTATCGTTGTATGACCTACTTTAAATCCCTTGTGTTTTCGTTTCTCAACCAATTTTCTCCAAATAACTATTCATCAGTTACTTAATTAATTAGCTGTACACAATCTCGATTATGTAAAATTACTTTTATTGTTATCTTTCACACACCCACAAACACCTCTACTTCCCATACACTATTTTATCTTTGTGACAAATCGGCGACAAACTTTGATACAAACTGGAGATAAACACTAGGATGAAGAGGAAACAGTCTTCTTTGTCGACTTGCATGTTCGGAAAGACTATTCGTATAAAAAATTACCAAAGTCTAATAACAATAAAAGTTGACTAGAAATAACCTTATTGTCTTAATGCCATTTATTCAACTTAAACACGGTAGGCGTGGAGTGTGAATTCCCACATGTCTAATGAATTTTTGTGGAATAATTTTAGAATATGGATTTCGTCACGAGTCGACAACATTTAGAAAATCACAGGAAACCATCAGGGAGCATTGTATTGGACAGCTATGTTTCGTCCTAGTTTCACACCATCCAGCAGCAAGCATACACCCATGCATGTTTCCAGCGGTGGATGTTGAACCCAAGACTTTTAAGTTATAACTCCAGCTTCCTGACCATTCAGCTAGCTAATGGGTTAGAATTCAATGAGAGTCAACGAAATTCTAAATCGTATCAATTCACGATATATGACGCTACTACCACCCCGGATAGTATTAAACTTAATTACCTAGCTAGCTTAACAGCAAGACCGAAACAAATGTGTTCACAAATCACAAAAAAAAATTATACTAACTGTTTATTCCTCATAAACAAAACAAGTAAATAAATAAATAGATAAACAAATAACTTAGACAAAAGGTTAAGTGGTTGTTATTCTCCACCCCGGGAAAAAAGAGTGGAATGTTCAAAAGTTAATCTAATTTTACAACTTTTAAAATAATAAAACGAATTTTAAAGTAGGTAAAATAAAGGAAGAAGTGAATTAACACAATAGATACATTCACTTTTCGTATTCACTGAAACAAAACAATACAAAAACATCCCATCTTTTCTGAAAGCTAGAATATACATCTGAATGTGAACAAGAATCATTGATGAATTACTCAGCTTTTAATCAATGGGTAAATAATCTTGTATCTCTTAAACACTTATCAAGAATTGAACAAACTGGTAGGTGTAGCTAGTTGTCAGTTGCACAAATCTGTGCATACTGTCTATACTACAAAAACCCAATACCCTTGCATGTAGCCATGAATTCATAGCCTCTGTTGCATAAATCATACTCACTGCTTTCATGTGATGCAGAGAGTTTATAAAAATAGTAGAAGAGAGAGAGAGAATGAGAATCACCAGTGCTCATCACTACAAACAGTTGGGGAAAGTTGATTTGAAACCAATGAAAGAGACACAGAGCCTATAAATTTCTTTTGGACACCTGTCTCTGTGGAAGCCACCACGTGACATTGCACTGCAGTGTCATGTGTTCTACATTGAAGCAAAGGACCAGAGAGTGGTATATTAGTTCACCGATCCTACATTCAATCACCTCATTTATTATTATTGTATTACTATTGTTACTTCCTATATGTGAAATATTTTGTTTGGTTTTCATCATCAGCATACTCTTTGTTTCCTTTATTTTCAAGATCTAGTTTGTAGGGATTGGATGTATTTCAAGTTGGAACACGGATTAATATCACTTAGAGAACAACTGAAAACCAGGAAGTACTGGACAGCTTATTTGGGACTCTTCGTCAGTATGCACCTGTCCAGATTAAAACCTAGAATCTTCCGGTT